ATCTGTCCCCCCGTTCATCTTCTAATTGTGTCTTTGTTTGCATGCTGAAGCGGCCACTGACGGCCCTTCAACACTCCATGGTTAGCTGAGTGACTCAACTCAATGGTCAGTCATGTCCTAAATAACCTGTTGGATGTGTGTATCTTTATTTAAGGTCTTTGCATCTGGTTCATCAATGTTCTAAGGGCAGGCACAAATGCGCCTTTGTATGCTTGTCTCTCTCTGTGTGTCTGTGTGTGTGTGCCTTTTTATACCTAAGTGCCTTCTCCTGGGAAGTGGACTGAAAATGAATCAGATTCCCTTTGCCATACAGAAAAATAATAAACATAAAATCCACTTATTATTTAAGTAAAAGGTAAATATTGCACTCTTAATTCCAACCAGAATCATATCCTAGTAGCTGGGACACTAATAGCAAGTCAAATTAGACAGCATCAGGGTTAGAAAAGTGCTGGAATGTACAAGTCAAGAACTATTACTTGACCTAGAAGTGAGAATAATTGCACTGAAAACAGAGTAAATGAAAAAAGTTGCTCTTTTGATCACTATACTCTCAGTGACAGGGTAAAGGCATATTACCATAACAGGGCCAATGTGGCTTTCTGATCACAACCTTTTCCACGCCCTACCAACCAGTCCCTCGGCAACTCACTGATGCCTTTGCAAGTGAAGACCATTTCTTCTCTATAAAACTATTTCACAGGCTTATGAGGGAAAAAGTTTCAAAGCAAACTTAAGTGGAATATTCTCATGGGCTGCCATGACAGTGTAACTGTAGGCTATTCTGTAATTCTTGGCACTGCAAAAGCAATATCAAAAGCTTTACACAAGTAACTCAAAAAAGTTAAAGTGCACAAAAGGGAATTATTTACAGTAACAAGGGTTCATGTAATTAATTGCTTTACATGTCACTCAAACCTCCTCAGAACAAATAGCAAAAGCTCCATTCAAGTTTGTGACAGTGTAGATTCCACTTTATAGCTCAGGAGCAGGAGCATCTGTGTGTCAGTCCAGAGGAGCATTTGACGGATCCCATGTATCTGACAAAAGCCTTGGTGAACATTATTTATCATGAAATCAATCAGGGTGGTGATGAATTTAAGCTAAAATCACTGGTATTCTAGGTGAGTGTTGATGAGCACTGTTTACACAGTCAACTACCTGCTTTATGCAGTATTTAGAAAAGATTTAACTGTTAGCGTGTAGCTTGATAACCAGGTTAACCACATCATATTTGAATGAAAAAATCAACTGGACTTAGATTTCTAGGTCGAAGACGTTTACTATGACCTGGATGACTAAGAATCTGCACAGACACCCATCATATTTGTTTTGATATAAAATGGCAATGAGCACCCAAAAGGAGAGCAGACAGAAAATCACTGATCATTGTTTATAAGTTTAAGACAGAAAATGAATTCTACATAGACAAGAACAGTGCTGTGGTATAGTCCCATTAACTGGCCTGTCTAATGAAAGTACCGTAAATACCAAACCCGCCACAATGAAAACAAGATGCAGATTTTAAAAGTTTTTTTTTATTTTTTTTTTTACAAAATATGTGTTATATCCACAGAAAAAAAAACCTGTTCTTAGTGGTGGAATGCAATCCTCACATTTTGTTCCTCTGCATACCAATTTTGTTTGTGAGTTTGTGTTGCATCAAGTTATCGCTCTTCATTATGCTCAGCTCGCAAACTCTTTTATAGCTGCACTGGCTGCGCTAAAATTGGGCTTCATACAACTGCCATATCCTAGACAGTTTCACCAAGTTATTCATTTCAGCATCTTATAAAACCAGTTTATGTATGCATGGATGGATTCACACAAGACACATGACCTTACAGAGGGGGATTATATTAAATGCAGGCCTGCCTCTGAGCAACACAATAATATATGATTTCAGAAAGAGGCCAGGAGGTCCCTCTGGAGAGCTGCTGTGATTCATCTCTGACAGAGACATCACTTCCACTCTGGGCCAAGGGGATAAGACTGTCAAGTTAGCCGTCCCTGCCCAGTGCACAGCCCTTCAAAGTAAAGCCACTGTGATGAATCTGAGGCCCGTGCTGTCCCGACGTGGCCTCACGAGTTTCAGAGCTCAAGGAAGGGTCTGCATGCATATTGTATTACCACAGTAAGACAAAGCAGTGCTAAGTTTATTTCCAGGAATGCATGCAAATGAGCGAGGAGTCTGGTTACAAGATGTGCTCAAACAATAAGTAAACAAAGCTGTCTGCACCCACTCACATCACTCCTGTGGGCATCTCTGTTTTTGCAAGTGTTCTCCAGCTATTTCTAGAGCACAGATACCAGTTGTTTTGGACTGAAGCTGCAGTTTGTCTGATGTTAGCTTTCTAACTGCTTTCATGCCAGCATTTTTCTCTCAATATATAATTTTCCTTTTAGACCATGTAACCAAACTCTTCTGAAATCGATACTAGTGAAATTCTTTTAGGTGGATTGTAAAATCAGGTTTCGATACAGGTCTTAAAGACTCTTGCATGGAGCTGGCTGAATAAAGTCGCATCTTCATGACACCAGGAAGCTCCCAGAAAACAAGCCACCGTACAGTGATTTGAACGCACCCTGGCGGCTGGTTGCATTATAGGCCATAAATCCTGCCCCCCCATGTCAGCAGATGGGACAAGCGCTAAACAAAAAGCTCATAGTAAGAGTCAGATAAATTTTTCCCAGAGATCATTTCTGTGGTTTTTGGTAGATATTATTACACTGACATGTGTACAAGTGGTCATTTTTGTTATGCTTCTTTTTTAATAAGTTATTTCATGATATAAAAAGGGGTGTATTGTCGATTATTTTAGAGCTTTGATTGGTGGCCTGAAACCAAGAAGTGATTGCCCTTGTACAATAATAGCTCTCAAAAGAGAGGCTACTAGCTGGGCCTGAAACAGGAAGGCAGTACTTAGAGCCAAGTTTTGACACAGCAGATAGGGGAAGATTAAGTGTTGAAACCAGAGCTGGCAGAAGACAATAAGGAATGGATTTCCCCCCCCAGAACCTTGTTATATTTTAAGATTGTTAAGTTTGTGTCAACAACTCAACAAAAACTATGTGGACAGGCAACCAAACATTAGCTCCTTTGGGTGTAACCTTTGCTTTAATTTAGATTTGAAGCAACGACAATAAAGTAATGATGAAAATAGAAGTGGAAATACCAGCACTGTAGGTTGACTGATCAATAGTGTGAACACAACTCTTTCACTAGATGTATATACTCAAGATACAGTACAAGTCTCTAGACTCCACTAGTCCCAGATTTATGTTTGTAACATAAGGAAATGCAATCAGTGTGGTGAAGATGCTGTTTCCGAACAAAAAATAATTGGGAAGATGCTAACAAAGACAAGACATTATGCCGAGAGCTGAGGAAACTGGGCTTTGACATGTAACGCGTGGGTGGAAATAGCCTGTTAATGAATAGACAGCAGAGGGGGGGGGGGGGGAATGAAGACGGCAGAGGAGATACACGAAGCGTGCTGTGCGATAAAATACTGCTATTGTTAGGCAGTGCTGAGGGAAAAGTGCTACGATGCAGAACGAGTGGAAAGTCTTGACAGCTTTCCGGTGGCAGTCTGACGGTTGAGCAGGGAGATTGGAGGGAAAGTGCAGCAGAGGGCTGCTGTCAGGCCACACCAGGGCTCCATTTAACAAGGTCCAGAGATGAGCTGCACCACAGCACATTGCAGGGGAATGAGAGAAGTTACAGTGTGGATGGAGGGAGGGCTGAGTAAGGGTCATGCATTTTTCCAGAGCCCCACTATCTGTCATGCCTGCAAGCCTGGGATTCTTCACATGTGCATGAGAGCAGAGATCGGAAACCCTCAGTAAGAACAAGAGCTGAAAAGAATTCAGGAGATTTTGAAGGATTACCTGCCATTGTATGTTGATACTAGACATGCCTGTGACTAACTGACAGCTTCATCTACAGTATATGTGAGGGACAGTTTCAGCCCCAATAGATGCACTTCATTTTTACCGCAGCTGTACCTACAACAGTGTAATGTCAGAATTGATCATTCATACAAGGTAATCCAGCCCATTTCACTTATCATAGTACTGTGCAGCAAGAGGATCTGAACCATGGCAGAGGACAAGCATAAATAATTAATAGCAAATGTGGAATATGCCTTATTGGATGGATGCCTTTAGGGCAAACACATACAAGAATTTTACAAGCCTTGCTCTGAGTGCTACCACACCTCTTGTATATCTCAGTTTCAAATGCACTTAGAAAAAATGCTTCAGTTATGGCTGCACGACGGAAACTCTAGCAGGGCCTCTGCAGCCTTCTTTCCACCTTGGCCCCAGGCATCAATCTCTTAGCCTGGCATGAAAGCTTATCTCCCAGCGTCAGGCTAAATGTCAACCTCAGGAACGCTGAAACACTATTAGTTATGTCCGCCCCATTAGAGGAAGCTAATTTCACATAAAAGTCACCCACCCAATTTTAAATGAGTCTGCCTTCATAGAGCTCTCTTCAGCTGCTTATGTTTTCACGTCAGCAGACGCAGCAGGGAGGAAATATGTCCCCAGATCCAAATAACACCACTGTTAAAATAAAAGCTGAATCATTGTTATGGAAAGGATTCCCTGTTCTGTTATAATGTGTTGAACATTTCAATTTATGCAAGAGAATGTTTCATATTTTGACTGTTTTATAATTTGACGGTGTGTGCAGTATCACTGCACAATTTTTACAAATTTTGCTTATTTTGTGACATCCTGACTTTCAAAAATAAATATAAAAAAATCAAAAACTATGCTTCTATTTTAGCTACAGTTTGATGGCTATACTGACATGCTCTATATCAGGTTAAACAGAAATGTACACTGCTTTTTCAAGGGTACAGTCATATCACATCCTGACCTGAATTCCTCTACAGTATTTCAACATATTAATTTGACTATATTAGAACTCTGACTTTTAATATTTACATCAATTATTTATTAATCAACCATCTTGTTTTCTGTCTCTGTAGGGGGACGACTCCTGTTTCTGGTAATGTGGCTGAATCTTGTGCCTCAAACTGACAGCTGCCCTGCCAAGTGTATGTGCTACAGTGAGCCCAGGCCCACTGTGGCCTGCCAACAACAAGGACTCTTTTCTATCCCAACTGAGATCCCTGTGCGGAGCCAGCGGATATTCCTCCAGACCAACAAGCTAACGGTAGTGAGGTCTACCAGTTTCAGCTCTTGCCACAATCTCACTGTTCTCTGGCTCTACTCTAATAACATCAGCTATATCGAGGCCGGGGCCTTCTACGGCTTAGAAAAACTTGAGGAACTGGACATCGGAGACAACAGCAACCTCCGCACCATCAGCCCAACAGCGTTCCGGGGCTTAACTAAGCTGCACACCCTCCAACTGCACAGGTGCGGTCTGTCAGAGCTTCCTGTTGGGGTTTTCAGAGGAATGTTCTCGCTACAGTACCTTTACCTGCAGGACAATAATATTCTAACCCTGCATGATGACACTTTTCTGGACCTTGCCAACCTCACCTATCTCTACCTTCACAATAACAAGATCAAGATAGTGGCAGACAACATGTTTCGAGGCTTAATCAATCTGGACCGGCTGCTTCTACACCAGAATCGGGTTATCTATGTCCAACCCAGGGCTTTTCATGACCTTGCAAAGCTGAAGTCCTTGTTCTTATTCTTCAACAATCTTACCGTCTTGACAGGGGAGACAATGGACCCGCTGGTGTCCCTCCAGTACTTGCGCTTGAATGGTAACCAGTGGATCTGTGACTGCCGTGCAAGGACCTTGTGGGATTGGTTCAAACGTTTCAAAGGTTCCAGCTCTGAGTTGGAGTGCAATGTTCCTGAGTTTCTGGCAGGAAAAGACCTGAAACGATTAAAAAGTGAAGACTTGGAGGGGTGTGTGGAAATGCCTCAAATCCAGACCACTCTATTCAGCTCCAAGACACAGTCTGGAAAATTCCTTTCCACTGAAAATCCTCTGGGAGACACAATTCCCAGGTGTTGCCTTGGAGATAATGACAAATCCTCTATCCTGTCTGGCAAGAGCCGCCAAATCACTAACAACCCCCTTAAGGAAAAGGAGAACATGTCCAAGACTAAATATAAGGAGCCAGAACGAACAAAAAATGAGACCCAGAATAAGCAGAATGATGGACCATTGGGAACCTTGTCCAACACCCTGGACAAGTCTTTGGAAAATCTAAACCCTGACCTCATAGACAATCTGGAATCATCTACAGCATCAAATAAAAAGAAAAAGAAGTGTTCCAAAAAGCCCAAATCAGACACCCAGTGCAAAAATCAGGGTTCTGCTTTGCTAGTGCTGCGCTCTCTCTTCATTCCCATGATCTGGATATCTCTAGCCATGTCTTAGGACTCCTGATCTCACTCTGAATACAGGACTCAAGATTGTTGATGCTCATGACAATGATACAGTGACATCTGCTAACAGGCAGTGACTGAAAAGCAAGGAGTCACGCTGACCCAATGTGGGTGAGGACAAACAATACTGAAGACGTTAAGAGTACATTTAACAAAATGGATGCCTTTACAGAACAATACAACTCTAATGTATATAATGAATTGGTGCCCAAAATTGTTTGTTAACTGTACTGTGTCCAAGCTACACTTTGGAGATTCCTCCCTTGTTCCCTCTCAAAAGCTTTTACTGCTTAGACAGACCATGGAAGACAGAAAAGAAGACAAAAACAAAAAACAAAAACAGGAAGTCGAAGACAGCACACACAAAAATGTTGGGTCCACTTAATGATGATAAAGAATCCCCCCATTATTTATTCAAAGTGATGCATTTGTTGGGTAATGTTATGTTTTTATGTTTCTAAAAATGTTTTCCTCCCCCAGTTTTAGTTCTACTTTCACGAGAGAAAGGATATAAGGGTAGCATTTACCAAAAGGATGCTGTCGATTTGTTTATTGAGATCGCAATGGAACCATAGATATGCATTTTATTTTACTTGTGTACAAGTATGAATATATTATGAATAAAAGTTCTTATTTCATAGATTTTTTTATTACTGTGTGTTATTTTTCAATATTAGAAAACAGATGGACTCCAGCTCCTCAAATGTGAGGATTTGGAATTCTTTCATGAATTTCAGACATTTTATTGAATAAATAATCACAAAATAATCAACAGATTAATAATTAAGGGCCAAAAAAATAATTTGTTGCTGCAGCAGTACCTCAAGAAAAGTAGTCTACCCAATAACTGCACGTCTTACACTTAATAACCGTAGCTCACGGAGAGCTATTCTGTTGCATTGCTGGCCTCTTTTAATGAGGTAAAGAAAAAGTAGAAGTAAGGAGACTTGATCCTAACATTGCCTGGGCAAAACTGTTCTAAACGAGTACCACAGTTAATTAGCATTTACAAAGTGCATTTGAGTGTAGCTATGACAGCAGCTCATATTATGTCCCACTAACCATACTTAGAGCAAAACAACCTTCCTTCCTCCCAAACAGATGGTGGAACCACTATGGTACGTTTATTGTTTTGCAGGATTGGTGAGAGAGCAATGACCGACTGCTTTGTTAAATCTGGCCTCATTCCAAACCTCAGGCATCCAGATTTTGTTTGCTTTCTCTTCAGCTCCTTTAGGATATTGACACCGCAGCACTTGACACACTCGAAGAAAAGACCTGCCTGAGCTCAGTTGCAGAGCAGTAAAGAGCAAAAATAACTTATCCTTGAATTAATATGCATTTTGAACTCTTCACATCTACATTTAAACCGTAACCAACTATTTTACCTTATAACTGTTCTAAGAATAACTCGTGCTACGATCTCCTGAGGCATTCTGAAAGAAAATGCAATTTAAACCAAGATTAAAGTCCAGCATCAATATGCATCCATACAGTATATTTACAAGTCTAAAGTGACTGCTGCACATGCAGTATTATTATGTTGAATGAAATGCCTCAGGCAACTTAACAAAATTCAGCTTATGATTAAACCCAGTAATGTCTATTATAAATACTGTCACACTCCTAATAATTTTGAATGAATTATTAAACTGTGTATGAAAATGCTGAGGGAATATTCAAAAACTGACTCTTCACATCACAGTCCTGACTTTGATAGCTTTAAAAGACCCCTAAGGCATCTTTTAAGTATGATTTAGATTTTTGACATAAAAAATACTGTATAAAACATCTGAATTCTACATAATTCAAATTTTGAAATGTCCCCTTGTCTTATAATTCTGCCAGTGAGAGTTGCCTGAGGTGGGTCCATGCGGTTGTGTCCGTAGGCCGGGCTAATGTAGAGACCTATATTCTTCAGCAAATTAAGTCAAGATCTTGTCAACAGACCTCAATTTTATCTTGCACAAAGTGAAAGACCTATAAAGCAGGGTCTCCACAAATCCCCGGAGCTTTCCATTGTTGTCGATTAACCCTGGAAAGTAAGATGACT